ATACTTCTCAATTCTTCAATTCATGTTGCAGGTGAGAGTGTACTTACTTGAGCGCCTTACTTAACCTTTTTAAATTTCACAACGGTGACGCGACGAATGAGGTCCTCAGGTGCTCGCCTCTAGAACCGTGCATGCCATAAATCATAAATAAGATTATTAAAAAGCCTTAACATCTCATCAAATACATTAATTACGTTAAAACAGCATTTAATATACCATTTTCACCATTCATTAACATCAAGACATAAAAACCCACTGATTACACAAAACCACAAAACTTAATAAAAACTGGCAGCCTGACCTTTACTCTTTTAAAAACTCATAACAATTCATATAGAACTCCAAATGGCCTGAAACTAATTTTAAATTAAAGTAGACATCTAGAGTTTTCCAACAGTATCTAATTTGTTAGAAACGGAGTTCGTTTGCTTCCTGAAACCCTGTTTTAAAATCAGACATGAAACCTAGAGAAATTCCAGCACTCAAACTAGGACGAAAATTCACTAAAAATTCTATAAAATACAAAACCATCATCCTCAACATGTATAAACAACACTCCATCTATTATTCAACCTTATGACATATTTCTAATACACAGAAACATAGAAGTATGCATGTAATCACTCCTAGACACGTCCAAAATTTTGACTTCTTAAACTAGGGTGCAATAAGGCCAATGAAATAAGATATCCTAGCATCTGACACAATATATATACAAGTCTATATATGATTCCTCTAAATAAAATCGAAAACTTGAAAATGATTAATAAAATTATAAGAATACAGAGGTCTCAAAATTATTAAAAAGAAAACAAACACAGCCACCCATCCACCCATATACGTAATACCATAAGTAACATAGCAGTGGTATAGCCTCACTCAAACATCATCTCATGTCTCTCCTCCTTCTCAAACAAAAGCCATTATTGACTATCAAATTCCGTAACCTTAAAGAATTCGAAACCATAAGAATAAATAATAAGAGGAATCATACCTTAATAATTTCCTTTATCTTTATTGCTAGAAGAATTCAAAAGAAAGATTAAGAGATTAACTTGATGGCTGATTACGGAGGTTCTCTTGTGATTTTTAAGAACGTGAGAAAAGAGGAAGGGAGAGAGAAAAGAAAATATATCAAGGCAACTGAGAGGATATAGAATGAGGATTCTAAAAGTATATCGATTTTTTTTTGGGTCAACACGTAAGAAAATCATTAGCAATAATTCCAAAACTATTTTTAGAATCTTCTTGAATGTTACAGACGTGCATTGGGGACTACGGCTGTCACTGAAATAATGAATCCTAGAACATATTGCACGATGATTACTCTCCCCTTCCTTTGACTATGTGCATAGCTAAGGTATATAATAGGCAAGAGAATGTATAATCGTGAACCTGACCATCTTTTTTTTTTCCCCACTGTACGTTTATGAGGATAGACTTCCTATTGTAATTTGGCCAGAGCATAGGTAGTAATTGTGATTCGTTTCCTAGTAAAATATAGGACTAATGGAGATATTTGTGGGTATAATCAATGGCACATCAAACTGTATAAATTTATATTTATTTACTTTCTTAACTCCTATTAAAATACTATATCACATATCATATAAACCACAAAGTAACACACAAAATAAATCATGTATATATGTCATATAAAAAGAAACATATTATCAAATCATAACATTATACTAATTCATTAAATCATAAGAATAAATATGAAATCACATAAAATTTTCATATAATGACATGAACTTGTTCTTAACACCTCGAGTCCTCGTCGCATTCACCTATAAAATATAACTCAATGTAATGTTAGAATTAACTATATATAACACCATAACATTATTCAAGTTAACTCCTAACATCTACAATTCTAAGAATTTTATCGGTTTAGAAAAATTGGTGTTACATAAAGTCACATCTCAACTCAAATTAAAAGCTCAAATCAGCGAACTAAACGGCCCATAATATTATTCTAAATTTCTAATACTTACAAATATTAAATATGGCATCCATCTCATACTTCACTAATGCACTTCATCGTTGCACGTAACTATGTCATTTGTCTCTGCCTTGTTCCCTTCATTAACAGTACTAGGAGTTAATTCAATTTTTTAATCAACAAAAGCCATTGCTATGTATGCCATTACACCTTAATACCTAATCTACGTGAGATATTATATAGAAAACAAAGAAAAATGATAAATAAAACGCATAAAATTATAGTGGTTTATATCCAATGTGACGGCTACGTTTATTTTTGTCCTAGTAGATTTTCACTACATTAGCAAAAGAGTACAGAACTATTTTTTTCACACCTTCAAATTGTCTCACAAGATTGCTCCACTTCTATTTAAGTCTCTGCTTAACAACGGATGTTTTAAAAAACTCCTTTTTTAGGATAAACAAATTAGGTTGAACCGCGATCAGCAGATAGAAGAATTCAATATAATTTGTTAGAGAGATTATAATATCTTTTTACAAATATATGAAATCAAAAGGCTGTTTAAAACGTGAACACGAAGCTTCACAAGCGTTGCAGCCTACAAAAACTCACCTTTTGGGTTAGCGCCTAAGCCAAGCGCTGCAGCGCACATAAGTGCGTTGCAACCCGCAGACTGCACACTCTCGGGGTGCAGCTTGCACAGGGCCGATCGTTGCAGGGCATAAATGTTGTGCTGCAACGCCCTTTCTAGGAAACTGTGTAAATACGTGACATGTGATTTTAATCATTTTGAATTATCACATCCACTGGTGATATGTTTTCATACATATCTAAATATATTTTAGCAATAGACATATATGTTATAATCTATGCATAGATACATGAAAAGATAGCTTTATAATGAAGAGGTACTTTTATGTGAAAGGTTATAATAGTTGAAACAGATGTGTTTATTCATGAAATGACATCTTTGCCTTTATTAATTCTCCAAAAAATTTACAGACTTCAATCTTGTTCTGGAACACAATATTTTTGCTAGATATTGTGTTCAAGGATTTGTTGTATCTCGGGGGTAATTTGCCATTAAAACATTTATCAAACTTTGAGAAGTGAGGACAAAAAAAACCTTAATGATAGTAATTGGGCAATACACCTCAAATCCTCGTAAACTGTTTTCTTTGCCTCCATTCCTCAAATTCTCCAACGTATTTAGACTCCAATATATAACACGAGCATGTCATTTTAGTTCTCTCATTCAACCAATTCCATCTCATGCAAGGCTAATCATGTCACTTGGTCTATGTTTAGTTGAGTATCGATTCGTTATTACTTTGTTGATAATTATTCTAATAAAATCAATTTTCAATAATTATAATAGTTTATTTAAAATATTTTCCCATTTTATAATTTGATAATATATTAATAAAATTTAAATTCAATGATTATATTTGTATTTGTCCACTCCAACGATGAGCAAAGCACTAAATTGCTTTCCTAAGCGTCTAATCTCACATCTTACCAAACACGTGACATGATGAAGGATCAATTCATGAAGACCGATCAGATCAAAAAGAAAAATTCATGGAGACCGATTTTACGGAATTTGGATGAATAGTTATAACTCTTAAGTTTTTCTGCAAATAAGATTAATAGCAGAATTTTTGCGTTAGTTATTTTTGTTTTTGTTCATCAATATCGATCAAACTTGATATTGTTTTAAAGCTTGTTGTGAGAGCTCTTAAAATATATATAGATCCCCAAATCGGATTTAAGATTACCAGAGTTGTGATGTTTCAAAATTAGTGTTGCAGAATTATAAAATGAAGAAAAACAAGTTCTTCAGCATAGTTACAATGGATGTCTATCTAGGGCACATGAAAATGAATCTGAGCCTGAAAGTCCAGTATTTTTTTTTTTTTTTTTTGTTATGGAATATTTTACAACTCTTGAGGGTCCAAAACGTGGCAACAGTGCACAAGAACCTAATTTTTCAGATTTTAGTAGTTCTGCAACCCCAACTTTGAGATATTATAACTCATTTAACTTTAAGTATCGATTTGGTGGTCTATATAGTTGGAAATCTCTCCTGACAAGCTTTAAAACCCTACTAAATTTGACATATATTGATGAACAGAAATAAAATAACCACTGTCAAAGTTTCTCTATTGATCGTCTTTGCATAAAAATTTAAGAGTCGTAACTTATGTGTCTTAAAATCCTTAATCGACGTATTATGTTCTATAATCCCCAAAATTAAGAATTTTGGAGGTTCCCAAACTCCGACCTAAATATGCCATATTTTCCAAATTCAATTTTGTTGGGGATTTTTTTTTTTTTTTTTTTTTTACTTTAGAGATTCGAACTCTACTCCTTATGATAGAATTAGGTGCAAAAATACGGCGAGGTGCCCTACATCCACTTGGCTTAAGTATTCATGCCATAAAAACAAAGAGGAAATCAATAGCCTAGCATCTCTTAGTTTTCTTCAAAAATTGAGAGCAGTCATCTGCCTCTCTTATTGTCTTTTTTAAATTACCAAATTGGTCATACTCAAAAAAACAGGACTAATTTTGTCATTTCCCTATTCTTTTGATACGGGGTATCACATCAAGTCACTTTCAGTAATTTCTCCCAAAATTTAATCTTAAATTGCCTAATTTTTCTCTAGACTGCCTCTATTTATATGTGACAATTAAAATGATGGTTCTTGCGTGCTTTTTCTTCATATATTTTTGTTATTTCCAATTTAGAAATATGATATCATGACTTCACAAGTTTCTTTCTAGTTTGCAAAGGCATGCTGAAAAGATTGTTCATATAAGATGGAAATTAAAAAGATAGTCCAAGCACTAAAATTATTACACGATAAGATTTCAGAGCTCTCTAGGATCATACAAGCTAAAATAAGATTCCGGGTTAATAGAACTAGTTCCATGCCTTTTTTTTTTATTTATTGTTTTTATTTTAATTTTTTGATAAGAGGAACTAGTTCCATGCATTAATTAGAAAACCAAAATCACAATTAGCTTAATCATGTTATGCTGTTAATTCTTCAGACAGATTCTTCCGTGTTTCTTCCTCTAGCACCATCAACTGCCACAACCAAAAGATCTCTTTTTGAGGTACTTATATTCTCATTCATCTCAGTCATGTGTTCATTTTCAGATGCTAAAACTCTCTTGCCGATCGATTCGGATGTCGGCTCATCCTTGCTCTTACCCCACAAAACCATGTATAGGCCAGCTACAATGACAGCTGCTCCAATAACCCTGCAAAGAATTCGGATTCCTCAAGTTATTCCATTTTGTTGTTTGCATAATCAGAAGTTCTTTTCCTATATTTTCAATTTTCATCGAAGAAAATAAAGTTGGATTGTGTGCACGCAGTGGCGGAGCCATATGATAGTGACTGGGGCACGTGCCCCACTAAAATTCCAAGTTTTTGAGTTTTTTATGACTAAAATTTCTCCAAAATTTTAGTTCCACCCCTACTTTATAAGAAAAATTATAACTATATATGTCCCATTTTTACCCACGGGATCTGTGAAAACTGTTGCAAGATATTTCAAATGCATGTATGTACCTTCCCAAGTACATTGTCTCGGACAATATGAAGGAGCTCATTATTGCAACTATGACCATGTTTAGAGGATTGAAAGCAGTCACAAAAACTGGTCCTTTGTCCTGCATGACTATTCCTTGGATATAGTAAGTAAGCCCTGAACAGATTACACCCTGTATTGAAACGAACATCACATGAGCCTTAAGTAAATTTGTCTTCCATTTTGCCTCTCATCAACACTAGAAATAGTACAACTCCCAAAAGAGAGGGCCTTAGGCTTACACTGTAAAGAGCAGCTAATAACTTAGAATCAAAATGTATGGACCAAGCTGCAGGGTTGCCCCATTCTAACGCTAGCGCCACGGCAGAGCCTTGCACCATTCCCATCAAACATATCAAGGCTGTTAGTGAGAGTTCAGCAGGGTATGCTTTTAGTGTAATTGCCTACAAAAAGCAAGAGTTATGTCTCAATAACTTGAAAGGGTCATAATTTCTTGCAAAAGAAGAAACCTAGACGCTATTATATCGACTCCTAAAACTCGATTTCGGGTGAAGTTCTCTTACTTGGAGTATTATGAAACTAGACCAGCTTACACATCCCGCGCCGATCATTAGAGCACCCTTGATAGAGACTTGATTATGTGCACCCTTTGTAGAGTCGATATGATTATCTTGTTTTGCCCATGGCAAGTTCAACACTGGTCCATTAAAAAGTGTCATGAACATTGCTCCTCCAACAGTCACTATGGTTCCCAATATCTTTGCTTGGCTGTGAATTCTTCCAATATTAACCTTCTCAAGCCTACAACAATTTAGTCCCAAGTTTGCTTAGACTTAAAATCAAGATACTATTTACTATGTGCAAGTAAAATATATATATATATATAGTGTTACCTGACTATCCAAGCCATTATGAATACAAAAGCAGGAAGAACATTGCTCATAGCAGCTGCAAAAGTTGCTGTTGTGGACTTCATCCCAGTGTAGAACAAGTTCTGGTCAATTACAGGCCTGGTTGGAAAAGTAGGCATTTTTCAACTGATATTTTCTGAAAATTATAGTAAAATGTTTGTTCGAAATCTTGAGCGTAAGGATCTTAACTCTAGTAAGCCAAGGAACACAATCTTGGTGAAGACAGAGGAGGTCAGCTTGGGCCTTGTTTTCCTGTTACAACAATTGAGTCAGTGTGATTGGCTTATTCTTTTTTTTTTTTTTTTTTTTTCCAACGCGGAAAACAGTGAAGTTCTTACTTAATAAATGACACACACAAAGATGAGATAATTGAGATACCTCTCCAACACAAGGGCAAAAGGAGCAATAACAGCAGTAGCAACTGCGTGCCGATACACGACCAGCACGTGTTGGCTCATCCCTTGGTTTAGAGCAAACTTCAAAATTATGTTCAGCCCTGCAAAGCCAAATTGAAGTACAATAACAGCAAGAAATGGCCTTGCTAGTTTGAGCCTTTTAGCCAAGGATTTTCTAGACATTTTTTTTTTCTTTGTATTTAAAACTCTCTTGCTTTCACTCTATCTACTTTGAAGGCCAATGAAGAAAACAAGGTCTCACTCACTTATATAGAAAGTTTTCTTTTAATCGGGCCAGGTACATGCATAACTCATCTTTAGTTGGAGGAGAGAGATTGACAAAGAGGGAAAGTGGACAAAAAAAAGTTGGGCTGGAAAAAATTTTCTCCCTACGTCATTAGATTTTAGGCTTTTGGTAATTAGAGTAATATGTGAAGATTTGACTTAAATTGATGATTTTTCTTAATCTGAACTTATAAACTAAGTGAAAACTTGAGGAGATAAAATATGTCCCTTCTTTCTTCCTTGTGGATTCCCCAGAATCTCTTTGGTTGGATTCCAAGATTTCTGCCTTTTCCAAGTTCTAGAAGTTGTTTACAACCTTTCCTATCCCTTCTTTCTTCATGATCACAAGTAAATAACAATGTTACCTTTCTTTTTTCTTTGAAGCCTAGGAACTCCACTATCTGAAACTGAAAATACATTATGCAAGACAAGAATACATTTACATGTGTATATATATATTTATTTATATGTATACGTATACATAATATATACATGTACACACACACACACACACACAAACATATGACTCAGAAGTGTTTCCTACTCATGGAGAAAATAGATGGGACAAAGAGAATATGTAGTCCAAATTTTGTTATGGTAAGCTTTGCTTGAACGTATTTCTAAATACAGTACATTAGCATATTAAAAAAGTCCTAGATTTGAACTCTTTATAGTTGTAGGTTTTTTTTTTTTTTGGTTAATATATTGTGTTTAGACTAACTTGTTAATTAGCACATGATCATTAAAAGGGAAAGATAACGATAACCGAATAACATTTGTTGATTTTTATTTGTATCACATCACCGAAATGACAAATATATTCTCTTTGTGGTCTGAATTATTAGCATATCTTCCTTGACAAAATGAGGAAGCAGATTCAAATCCACTTTATCCCACTAATGGATCTCAGCCTATACATGGGATATGCCAACTGAAACAACGATGAGAGATTAAAGCCCAAAAATTCAACTACCTCATGTGTGTGTGTGTGGTGTCCATGCTCATACGTATAGAGTAATATCATGCATTCCTTTTTAACTGAATTGACAAGTTGCTTCCTAAACTATTAATTATGGAAAATTAGCCTCCATGAAATATTGCACAAAGGCCCCCCAAATCGATGGCGATTTAACATTTGGAATGAAACGCCGCTTTAACATGTATAAGGGTGTTTCTATTTAAATTTTAATAACAACTTCCAATGATTTAAGAGCACTTTACAACACAATTAAATTCAAAACGTAATTTACCACAAATAAAAGTTTACAAGAAAACTTGTCCTTTGGGAAAAGTTCAAGAGACGTGTGTACCAAATACCCTTAAATTTAACTAATCACATGTTATATACTTTAAGAATCACAGAATATAATAAAGGACCACATCTATAGTGTCACATAACAATGTCAAAAGCAGTACTAGTGAGAAAAACTACGTAAGATTTTATATATTGGGTTTTCTTTGTTTTTTTTTTTCTTCTTTTCGGCTAAATCCAAGTTTTCTTTAGTGATGAATGGACCTACTTTAGTGAACATGATACGGGTACAAATACTAGCACCTGGACCAGTACTATGGAATGATCTGTGTGCGAGTGAATAGAATTTTCTGTTTTTCACCCAGTTGAGCACAACGATCTGTCAATCAAACCGCCAAACACAAATATATGTGTATATATAAATGTGTGTATTGGGATAACACATTGAGAAATCCCATCAGGCTGACTAAGGTCTCATTCACTTCGCAGTTTTGAGTTTTCAATTTGAGTTAAGATATGACATTTTCTAAAAGTTTTTTACTGTAGCAAAAACAGTTAGATGTGATATTTTCTGAGAACTTTTTACTGAAAAAACCTAAAATTAAAAACCCAAATCGGTAAAATGAACGAGACCTAATATTTCATACATGAATCGCACCAATAACGTGTTCTCTCTTCTGTTGTTGGTGACAAATGTTCCGATTCTCATTCAGCGTCAAGTCCACAATAAAACTTGACATAATGTATTTGTTTACAGATAAGCGTCAACGTTTATTTTGGGGTCCTCTTGGTTTTCGGATCGGATTAAGCAAAAGTGATTTTGTGCATGAAATGAAACGCTCTGTAGATTAAAGAAGTGTGGCTCTTCCGTAAACTAATCAAATGTTATATACTTTAAGAATCACAGAATATAAAGGACCACATCTATAGTGTCACATAACAATGTCAAAAGCAGTACTAGTGAGAAAAACTACGTAAGATTTTATATATTGGGTTTTCTTTGTTTTTGTTTTTTTTTTCTTTTCGGCTAAATCCAAGTTTTCTTTAGTGATGAATGGACCTACTTTAGTGAACATGATACGGGTACAAATACTAGCACCTGGACCAGTACTATGGAATGATCTGTGTGCGAGTGAATAGAATTTTCTGTTTTTCACCCAGTTGAGCACAACGATCTGTCAATCAAACCGCCAAACACAAATATATGTGTATATATAAGTGTGTGTATTGGGATAACACATTGAGAAATCCCATCAGGCTGACTAAGGTCTCATTCACTTCGCAGATTTGAGTTTTCAATTTGAGCTAAGATATGATATTTTCTGAAAGTTTTTCACTGTAGCAAAAACAGTTAGATGTGATATTTTTTGAGAACTTTTTACTGTAAAAATCTAAAATTGAAAACTCGAATCGGTAAAATGAACGAGACCTAATATTTCATACATGAATCGCACCAATAACGTGTTCTCTCTTCTGTTGTTGGTGAAAAATGTTCCGATTCTCATTCAGCGTCAAGTCCACAATAAAACTTGACATAATGTATTTGTTTACAGATAAGCGTCAACGTTTATTTTGGGGTCCTCTTGGTTTTCGGATCGGATTAAGCAAAAGTGATTTTGTGCATGAAATGAAACGCTCTGTAGATTAAAGAAGTGTGGCTCTTCCGTAATATTTCCATGCATTTATTCCCACTTTGATAAAGCTAAAGCACTTGTCGGATTGGATAAATGAAGTCGCAATTTGTGTAAATGGGTCTTGTTCATATCAATCCATTTATGATTTACTACTCAGTGTCAGAAGATACGGGCCCGATTACACGCGTGGGGCCGTGGAGTTGCATTGAATAATTGAACGAGGGCACACGCCCCACCCAATTTTTGAATTTTATATTTAAGATAATTTTAATTTGATATTTTGTATTATAACGAAATAATTTTTTAATACCGTGTATTTTTAATAATTTTAAATTAGTACTTTAACATTTTAAAAAATTAATCTTTGATATCTTAAGGTTATTTTTTGGGATATGAAATGCCAACATTAATAAGGCTAAATTCGATATTTCATTACGTAAAAAATAGTCTCGTGATATCAAATACTGGTTTTTTAAAACTTTAAAGTTGCCCATTTAAAATTATCAAAAACACGAGGTATTAAAAGACGATTTCGCTATAACACATAGTATCAAATTGAAATTATACCATTTAGAATTGCACCCATAAAAATTTTAAAAGAATTTGTAATATGCCCCTACTTTGCAAGAAAAAGTTATATTCGTGCCCCAAATGAACAATTAGATATGTTGTTGTGCCCCATTTACAAGAAAAGTTATAGTTGTGCCTCCATTTTAATAATGAAAATATATAAATATGTATCCCAAAACAAAATACTGTCTAATTTTATCATAGTGGCCCACTGAAAAAAATTTTGACTTCGCTATTGATCACAATTATTGATACGACTTAACCATTACAATGTGTTTATAGTGTGGTTTGAGAGCAATGACAGCCATATTCATGTGAGTAGGGTGTGCAACAAACCATCGAAGCTATTCAACCCAATCAAACCAAATCAAATTAAAAGAAAATCAAAATAAACCAATTGATAATCAATTTAGTTTGGTTTAAATTTGTAAGAAACCAGTTTGTAAGTACCACTAAATGATCATAATTCTGGAAGTTTTTATCATAACTAATATATAATGGAATGTCTATTATATAAAATATAAGTACCACTTATGTTTGAGGTTTGAGAACAGGTTGTAAAATATTAATTCAAACCAACTAGAAAAAATCAAACCAAACCAATTATAATCGGTTTGATTTGGATTGGATTAGATCCCTTAATTGGTTTGGTTTGATTTGAAAATCTCTAAACCAATTTGTAATTAGTTTGGTTTGCATTTCACCTAAAATAAGCAGTTTGGTTGGTTTGCACACCCCTACATGTAAATAGGGTCTTGTGCCCTCACTCACATTTTCGATTTTTAATTTTCATTCCTAATGTTTGTGTAAGTCATACTCCCATTCAGTAGTTTAAATATACAATTATATTCCTATTTAATAAAAAGTTTTCAATTTTTTTAGAGCCTCCACTAAAAACATTTTCTATCTCCGCCACTGTTTGAGAACAGTCTTTTCAATTTATAATGTGTTCTACAAACGCCATGTCGCGTAACATTATCATTTGATCTTATTAATATCTAAGCAATTGATTGTACCTCTTTGTTAACTTAATGCTTTGTTCTTTTACGATGATTAGCAAGCTACATATAATACCCCTGATATAAGTTGGAATAAGCACTTGCTTTATTAAGCAAACTTTTAAGCAAAACTTTTGTGTGCCTGTTTTGCACACCAAAAAAAAAAAAAAAAATCACTTGGAATCCGATTAATTAGATCCTTTCGTATTTTTTGCGTCCCAGCGAGTCCTTCACCAAAATAAGAAGAAAAGTTTATAAAATATTTTAAGTCACTTGTTGTAGTCATTTACACAATATTCTTTAGTGGATACCAAAATGCTTTTTTCCACCCAACAAGAATAGCATTTTATTTTTTTTTTTTTGGCTAAGATCACTAGTAATTGCCGGTATGCAAGGGTGGCCATTTTGTCAATTTTGCAGAGTACATTTCAATTCCTTCTTTAC